GTTTTAATTTGCATTTCACGAATGGCTAGTGATGTGGACCATTTTTTCATATATTTATTCGCTTCTTTAATTTCATCCTCTGAGAAGTGTGTGTTCATCTCAGATGCCCATTTCTGGACTGGGTCTTTAAATTTTGGGGCCCTATTAACTACTTTTTAAAGAAGTGCATTGAAACATTCCTATTTACCCTTATTATTTAACCCACCTAGAATTATGGTTTCTTGATGCTTTTTTCATTTTTTTGGCTTTTTTGTTTGTTTTCTTGAGAGACAGTCTCCTTGTATAGTTCAGGCTGGTCTTGAGCTCACTATATAACCTACACTGACCTTGAACTCACAACAGTCCTCCTGCCTCAGCCTCACCAGTGCTGGGATTACAGGCATGTATCACCCAGTTTACAATTACGCTTATTATTTAGACTTAAGTATTTTCTACCTGCTAGTCTTTTAGTGTTAGTTCTCTTTCAGGCAGTAAATGCTAATACAGTACCTTTTTGTGTAATGCTTTGCAATCAAATAAAAAAAACCTTTCTTTCAAAATCCTGAATAGTAACATAAGGCAGATATGCTAACTAGGATTTACTAAGAGAAAATGAAATTCAGGTAAATTATGCTACTTCCCCAAGGTTGTATGATAGCTGAGTAGTAGAGCTAGTAGAGCTAACATTTACTGAATATTACCAAGTATCCACTCAAAATTCCATACTACTTCAAATAAATAATAGCTCCTCAATAAGCAGACCTTCCTGGAGCTACATAGGCTGTAAAAATAGTCCATATTATGTATATATATATATATATAATTATTTTGTACTATTGAACGCAGAGTTTTTACAGTGAGTTTTTTGAGAGCTGAGAACTGTCCCACAGTCTTGCCTGAAATGCCACTTCTAAAAGCAACGTGGTTTTGCTGTGAACAGAGGTGGCTGGGAGCCCCAGGCCCAGCTGGTGAGCATCCAAGCTGACTGGCTGCAGAGGCCGCTCAGTGATGAGCGATAGGCGTTGGTCTGCAGCCCAGCCCTTGTGGGAGGTGGCAGCGCCTGCTGCAGGAACACGGTACCCACATGCCAAGTGGCTGTGCTGAGCCAGTGCAGACCGTCCGGCCGAGACAGAGCACCCTGACTCCACACACTGGCCAGGCCTGACCCGGGCTGTGTGCATTGCTGCCAAGCGGCTCACAACCAAAGCCTCTGTCTTCTCTGCCCCCTAACATGTCTCCTGCTGGGAAAACAAATATTTGTCAATTTTTTAAAAACTAAGGACACATTACTCTTCTTATTTTTTCTTTTTAAAAGCCTGGAAAGGCTAGCCAAGTGCTCAACTTCAGGGCAAGGATTGTTGTTCTGTTTTATTCACCAATATTCATTGAGCCCTAGAACCACCTGGCTTATAGTAAGCACCGAAAGAATATTTATTGAATGAACTAACACTTGGAGTTAAGTAACATTTCAAGGATAAGAAAATGGCTATAGAGGTGCCGGAACATAGGAAGGAGGAATTTTTTCTGGTTTCCTATAACACAGTAGGGTTATTACAACAATCTGATTAAAAGAGTACAAAATTCCCAAAAGATGAAAATGATTAACATTTTAAGGGACAAAAATGCTTATTACTCTGATTTGATTATTACACATTATATAGTTATCAAATTACTGTACATTCAAATATTATGCCTCATTGTAGTAAAGAGAATTATACTTCATTTAAAAAATAATAAAATCCAGACCCTCCAAGATTGGTTTGGGATAATGAGAAGAATTGTTACACCAGCTCCACACCCACACCCTTGAGATGTCATTCCCACCACCATGCTGGCCTCTTGGCGGCTGTCCCACTGTGAATATTATGGCCTCATTATGGAAATAATGGCTTATGCAGCTTTTGTACCACAGCTAAGATAAGGTTATAAGGCTGTAAAAATCATAACTGCAAGCCAAGGGGTCTCTGCACACCTATAATCCCACTACAATGGGAGACCTGGGCAATTTAGCAAGATCCTGTTTAAAAAAAAAGAAGGATCTGTTCCATGTTATGCCTAAGATGTTTGATATTCAGATAGATAGTGAGGTTAAGCTTAACAGCTTAGGTTGTATGGTAATAACAATAAGCTTGTCTTCTGGAGGGTTAACAAGCTAAGTTTGCAGACCAAAATTAGAGAAAAAGGAGGGCTTCAAGGAAAGCCAACATTTTAGCCCTAGCCTTCCAAAGTCAATTAAGACTCAGGACATATAAGTCTTGTACTGTAACGTCATGTAACTCGGTAGTGACCCAAATTTTCTCATCAAGGAGATTATGAGTCCAAAGAGGAAAGTAATCGATGATGTGGGGTATGCCTAAGGAGAGTCACATGGAGAGAAAACATTCTCTCAGGCTTTCACAGAGAGCACATTGGCCAAGCAATGGCCATGACTCATCCATATGGCTGACTCTGACAAAGGATCTACAATCTGAGGTACAGGATCTCAGGATAAATCCTGAGGGGATTTCACTGACCTTCTCAGACCCAAAAGCTACAACTCTTGTTGCATAGGTCCTGCTTTACCTTGGTCTTAACCATTCAGCAGAAAAGTATAAAAATGAAGTATAAGAAGTAAAGCCATGGTGTTATGTTGAGCTGTGGGGGACTCAGGTCAACAATTTCTGACTTTGCCAGTCAAGCGGAAGACACAATACTATTATGGACTACTGGACTCTTTTAGAGTATTTTGCTTAACACATCAATAATATTCAAATAACGGAACTTAACAAAAAAGGGGATACAGATGAATGTCCATTTTGTATCTGTGTAGTGAAATGGTTAGGATAGATATATAGTTACATTCTCTTAATGAATAGAGGGATTTGTTCTAATAGTGTTTGTAAATAAGAAATCATGTCCCCATCTTGTACAGCAATTAACCACTAGGAAGAATGTATGCAATGTGTTAATTATTATTATTTTTTAAAATTTTATTTATTTATTTGTGTGTGTGTGTGTGGCCAGCTCAGCCCACCAGGGGGCGGGGCGGGCTGGCACGTGGTGCTGGGGGATTGAATCACAGTCCCTGTGCTTTGCTAAGCTTGTTCTTAGTAGGTGCTTTAGACCACTGAGCCATCTCACCAGCCCCCAATGTATTAATTATTGAAACTGTCCTACGAATTTGGTTTGAAACTGTCTCATTGCTATTTGTTTCTCAATAAAATTATGGAGAAAGAAAATTTTTAAAAACCCAAAAAACAAAAAAATAAAAATAAAAAAAAGAAGGCCGCTGAAGAGCCACATAAAGTAATTAATACAGAGTGATGTGGAAATAGAGACAATCCGATGAAAGGATTGTTCTTCAGGACAACTGGCTGAGCGTGTACAACATTGGGAGCGGCTGCCAGGGAATCTTCCTCCCACTTCTGACTGGGGCTTTACAGTGCATCCATCACCTTTTAGATAGGAGCACATTTCTTCACATAGGGTTTCTATGTGCCACACTGTATCAGGGACTGAATCCTACCTGACCGGGGCCATGGCTTCTAATGTGGAGAGTTTGGAGCTTGTGGACGAGCTGAGACAAACATTAGGGAGTCGCTTTCCCATCATCCTCCATCGAAGCACTTGGCCCTGTGAGTCCATCTGACCTATCACCTAATTAGACTCCTCAGGAGGTGGATTTGGGATGGAGAATTGGCCTGCCTAGGTCCTCTCCCCTTGGCGCTATCTATCTGCAGGGAAGAATGTTCAAGATCTGTTTCTTCTCACAGCATGCTCAACTACCATAGAGGGGTCTGCAGCCCCAGGGCATACGTTCAACTCAGGGATGTCTGGGATCCAAACTATATTCTTTATTATAATTTTACCAGTGATAGAGACAGTGTTTTCATTCTATTTGTCCAACTGCTGTGTCTGTTTTTCAATTGGCTCCTAACTGTGGTGGACAATAAAGATTATTATCATTATTGTGCCCTTCAAACTCCAAACTGCCACCAAGCATGTGAATAATTGTAGCAGGAACTATGGTGAATTAGGAGGTGCAGTAGTTGACAATGACTGGGCCATGCTGTAGTAACAAATAAGTTGTGACACTCTCAAATGCTTTTCAATACAAGGAAAATGTACTTCTACCACATGCTACAGCCCAGGGTAAAATGATTGTCTTCTCCTCCTGTAGCTCTGCTATCTAGAATATGTGGCTTCCAGGGTCTCTGCAGCAGGGAAAGAGAGAGGTGGAAGAGGCAGCCTCACTCTTGAATGCCTTGCTCTGGAAGGGATACCCAACATTCTAAGTTAGATGCGCAAGTTACATGGCTCCAGACAATGCAGAAGAGGCTGGGAGTGTAGTGGGGAAGACTTGGGGGAGCAAGTGGTTCCCTGGAGAGCACTAAAGTTTCCCACCACAAGTGGATTAGGACCAGCTGGGGTGAGCAGGGACTGTAACTCAGTAGTAAAGCACTTGCCTGGCATGCTCAAGGCCTTGGGCTTGGTCCCTAGAAATGCACTAAAAAAAAAAAAATTAGTTAATGAATAAAACCAGGGAAGGTTCAAGGGAGCTTAAAGGGGGTTGAGTAGTACCAAAAATATATTTTGCATATTTCATAGTTTGGCAAGACCATTTTGTCTGAAAATATCTGAATAAACTTTTCACAATCTGATGCCACAAAATTAAACTATCATATTAAGTTCTGTCTATAAAGAACTTAATATGATAGTTTAATTTTCCCCCAAAGGCTCTTAGTTTTGTTGCACACAGATTGTCCTTTTGCTAGTGAGAATTGGGCTCCCTGTGCTTGTGGGTACTTTGAGTCTTTCAACAACTTTTATATCACCACAAATATAGCCCCCCCCCCCATGGGATTTCTTTGAGTAGGAGCCATCAGTGGAACCATATTTCTTGAGCATTCTCTTTGAATTAATCAGCTGGTATTTGTTAGTTTTTTTTCTAGAAAGAGAATGCAAGATCTTTCTAGGCCTAAAAGACAATGGGGAACTCCAGAGAGGTAAGGCAATACGATACAATTTTGTTTGCTGTTACTGTTTGTTACATAAAGTAGATAAGCACTGTTCTTGCCTACCCAGTATTCTACCTATTAACCCTGCATCTTAAATGAATCGACCACATACCTCTATTCTACAGGAAACAGAGCCAATGTGGGCTCCTCAGTTGACATACTACACAGAGGCTGATCTTGGCAGTGGTTCCCAAATCTATGTGCAGGCTAGGATCATCTGGGATTTAATACTGACTGATGCTTGGATCTCATCCCTGGAAACCCTGACTTAATTGGTCTGGATGCAGTTGTATAGACAATTATAATTAGCAGAAAAGTCTGCCACCCACTGCTATAGGGTGTGGTTCTGCACTCCTCTGAAACTCCTGTGACCTTTGTTGCCTGTGCCATCCAGGCCAAGCTGTTGGTACCTTTTGCATTCTCACTGACAGTGAATGAGAGTTCCTGTCCCTCCACACCCTTGTCAACATTTGGCGTCATCAGTGTTCTGGATTTCATTCATTCATTCCATGGACATGTAGTTTGTATCTCATTGTTTTAATTTCCAACTCCCTAATGACATGGTGTTGAACATATTTTATACCCTTGCTGGTATGTTTTCTTTGATGAGGTATCTGTCCAGATCTTTTGCCTATTTTTAATTGCATTGCTTGTTTTCTTATTGAGGTTTTTGTTTGTTTATTTGCTTTCCTGAGACGGAGTCTCACTATATAGCTCAGGATGGCCTTGAACTCGTGGTGACCTTCCTGCCTCAACCTCCCAAATTGTCCCCCTCCCATACTAGGAATTGAATTTAGGACCTTGTGATTGCCAAGTAGGTGTTTATGTCCCTGAGCTACCTCCCTGGCCCTAAGCCTCCCCAAGTACTAAGGATCTAGATGTGTATCACCATGCCTGGCTCTTATTATTGAGTTTTAAGCATCCTTGGTATAGATTGGATATCATATCTTAATCACATGTTTATTTTGCAAATACTCTCTCCCAGTCTGAGACATGCATTTTTATTGCCTTCGCAGTCAGTGTCTCTCACAAAGGAAAGTTTAATTTTAATTAATCAAAATTATTGAGTTTCTTTTATGGATTGTGCTTTATTTTTTGTATTTTTAGGGAGGGGTCTACAGGTGTTCAGGGTCTCACAACTAGATTGGACTCATAGTGATTCACCTGTTTGCAGCCTCCTAAGAGCTAGGATTATAGGCATGCACCCCTACTCCCAATCTCAATTGCCATCTCAGTGAGCTCTGGGGGCAGGGCTGGCACAGTGGAGATCTGAACCCCTGGCCCCTGTGCCTGCTTGCAGGCACTTTAATCTACTGAGATATCTGGCCAGCCCTTTATATTTTCTATTAATTTTTTCTACAAAATTCATGGAAGTTTTATAGATTTGCATTTTGTACTTAAGTACATAATGTACTTCAAGTTAGGTTTATGAAAGGTGTGTACAGGTTTCTTTTTTTCTCCTTTCCATTCTCTTTTTCCCTTCCTCTTTCCCTCCCCTTTCTACTCTCTCTCTTAATTTTGTACATGTTCAGAATCTGTAAATATTATTGTAGCACAACTTGTTGAAAACACTATCCTTTCTTGATTGGATTTCTTTTAGTCCTTTATTATTTCTGTGATTATTCCTAGGACTTACAGTTTATTTTATTAATCTATTTTTCTATTCTTTAACCAGCCCACAGTGTTTTGAATACTGTAGCTTTTTAGAAAAGTGTTAGTTTTCTGATTTTGTTCTTCTGTATGTTAACTATTCAGGGTCTTTTGTCTTTCCACATAATCTTTAGAATTAGTTTATCAGTCTCCATGAAATAATTTGACTTTGGGGAAGGATTGTGTTGAATCTATAATGTCTTAATAGTGACTATTCTTAAAAGTAGTGTACCTGGCTATTTAGAGCTTCTTTCATTCTTTTCATCAGCATTTTACAGGTTTCCTCCTGGAGATCACATGCATGTTTTGTTAGAGTTAGCCATACATTTAATTTTGTTGGCATAAGTGTGAAAGTTAGGGTCCAGGGAGATGACTCAGTAGAATAAGCACTTGCCTGGCAAGTGCAAGGGCCTGAGTTCAATCCCCAGTTCCACAAAAAAAAAAAAAAAAAAAAATTAGTGTGTTTTTAATTTCAAATTTCTCTGCCTTATGGTTGGCACATAGACAAAGCAATATACTTTATATTGATGTTATATCCAGAAACTGATACAATCTAAAAATTAAATTGTTTATCCAGAAACTGATAAAATCTAAAAATTAAATTGTTTAAAAGGTGTTTTTATACATTAAAAGTAGAGCATGGATTAATTCTCCCCTCTTCATGGATAGACACATGCACGTAAGATTTATTGGAGTTATATAGTGATAAAGACATATGTAATAAATATTGCCATAACTCACATTTTGGGACAGTTTCTCCCTCCTCCTGTTTGATACCAACAGACAAGACAAAGGAACAAATTGATTAGGAAGTTGCACTCAGAAAAGTGAAGAAATTTACCTAAGCTGACCCAGCGTGTGGGAGCCAAGACTGGGATTTGAACCCATACCGTTGCCCGCGCTGCCTGTTCCTCTCTATTCTATCACTGACTCTTAGACGCACATGCATGAATGTATCCCTTGGCTCCTAGCGCTTTTTGTAGGACCCCTAGTCTTGACTCTGTTTGTCTCTCTTCATCTGAGCTTTTCTCTTCACCCCTACCCAAGAACATCCTTCCTGTGAGTACCACTTGGCCACGGTATTGTCTCTGTTTTTCAATTTTCTTCCTTTTTGATGTTTAGATGACACTTGATGACTTTTGACATATCCAGTGTGTCTTGTCCCAAGACAGTACTTCTTGTGGGGCCGGGCGGCGGGGCCTGCGGTACCTGGGATTGAACCTGGGTCCTTGTGCTTTCCAGGCAGGAACCATATTCCTAGCCCTTTTTATTTTGAGGCAGAATCTTTAATTTGCCCAAATGGGACTTGGTTTTGCCATCCTCCTGCTTCAGCCTGTCTCAGCCTTGAGGTTACAGGCTGGTGCCCCCATGCCTGGCTGAGGCGGTGCCCTTAATTGTTGGCTTGACTGTGTTGCTAGACGCTTGGAGAGGTGACTGGATCTTGGGGCTGCTGCACTCGCAGTAGATTAAAGCCGATGCTCACAGCTGAGCTGCTGCGGATGGAGGCAGGTCCCGGGGGAGCCTGTAGTGTGTGTCGCCGGGGCTCCCCCCACCCCCCTGCCCTGACTGGCCACCGCGCCCCGCAGCTGGGCTCCACCGCGGCCTCCTCCCCGTGCTCCTGAAACGGAGATAAACGCAGCCCCTTCGCCTAGTTATGAGGGACAGGCATTTGCTCCCACCCCGTACAGTGGTGGAAGAGTCAGGGCTTTATCCCAAAGCCGCTGGAAACCTCTTAAAGGTCCCGAAAGCAGCCACTCGCTCAGCTCGAGTCTGGACAGGCGGCTTCGGTAGCGGCAGCGGAGGCCAGACCCAGCCGGCGACACGGGGACAGGGAGACAGATGCTGTGACCGGGGAGGCAGAGGTGAGTGAGGGCCGGCGGTTTGCGGTGGCGCCGCGGAGCGCGAGGAGCCGGAAATTCCTTCATGACACTTCCAATACTGCCTGGCGGGACAGAGGCAGATTATATCTAAAATTACAGAGAAATTTGGGGAATAAGGGGAAACCGGGAGCCCTTTTAAGGGAAGAGCTCATTTTCCCCCTCTAGGGATTCCAAGGTGCTGGGGCTGTAGTCTGATGATTTCTGTTTCTCCTCCTTCCCTATGTAGTCCGTAGTCTGGGTTCTCTTCCGAGACCGAGCCTCCTCGGTTACTCCTATACTGCTTTCTCCTGATCTCTTTCCGGAATCTTGATCACGCCTATTTTTATTTTTTATTTATATTTATATTTATTTATTTTTTTGTGGGAACTGGGGCTTGAACTAGGCTCTTGCGCTTGCCAGGCAAGCGCTTATTCTACTGAGCTATCTCCCCGGCCCCAGTCGCTCCTGTTTCACAGGGCAGTTGAGACCAGATGATCCGAGGTCCGAAATGTCCTTAGTGTGGGCATTATGCAGGAAACAGCTCGAAGAAGGTCGCTGTCTTGGCTACTCTGTTCTTATTTTTCTCCCTGGTACCTGGGCAAAGCTTCACCCAAACCAAATATAGTGCACATAGCGGCCCATTGAATGCCAAGCTGACTCTAATTCACAGTGTTGCCCAGCGTGGTGGCGCTCACCTGTAATCCCAGCACTGCAGAGGCTGAGGCAGGAAGATCTCTTAGGAAGTCAGGCTGGGCTTCATAGTTCAAGGCCAGCCTAAACTGCCTGACAAGACCCTGTTTTAAAAACAAACAAATAAAACAAACATCACAGTGTTAGTTCTATCACCATAGAAATAGAAAGGTCTTATCTCTTCATGGGTTCCTTTGTGATTACTTTTTAAGGCAGTAGGTAAGACAGTCTTTATTTTTTGGACAGTTCTGTTTTGACCTCCATAGTTTATCTCTAATGCCTGGAAATTGTGAATTTCTGTCAAGATAGTTCTTGAAGTAAACTCTATATAGAAGTTACCAAGAGCAATTTGTAAGATATTCAACAGCAACAAATTATTGACCATTTCATTTTTATGCTTTTAAACAGAAGACTGTTTTGGGGAAACCAAGATCCCATCTGCCCTGTTTCTGAGAGCTCTTTGTCGGCTCGGCTGTCGAAGAGGCTTAACAACCTTGCCCAGCCCAAGAAGGTATCCCACCACTACATACCCAACAGGTTGGTGCTGGCGTCAGAGATAGCTTTCTCAAGAGGGCAAATTAGCCTGTTTTTGAAATTTAGGCTATTCCAACGTTTATACCGTATATAATGCTATTAACGAATAAACGTATTTATCCATGAAACTTTGATGAATTTTAAAATTACCCATGGGCTTGATTACTATGAGCTGTGACTTTTTAATTCTGTTTTATTTGCAATGCTGGTTTGTTCACTTTAACAGGTCTTAACCCCCGAATGAAGGGCAGAAATAATAATAAGAATATTATCAAATATCCCAAATACAGTCTTAGTTAGCAAACCTCAAAACTGGCCTAGTGTGGGGGCACATATCTGTAGTCCCAGTGCCACCTCCACACTCGGGAGGCCGAGGCAGGAGGATCGCCATGAGTTCAAGGCCAGCCTGAGCTACATAGCGAGACCCAATCTCAAAAGTAAGTCTTCTACATATTATAAAGTCAAATTGACTTCTACACCTAAGATCTTAAGACAAAGAAAGGTATTAGTATAAATTCATCCTGCTAATTAAAAATATAGTGAATAATTTTACAATGTTCAAGTAGATGGTAAAAGATTTGATTTTAAAGTCAGCAGTTTCTCCCATCGTCAATTTATCTTTCAGTCTACTTAAAAATTGCAATTTATTATAGAAACTTAGGTTTAGCATAAGATGATAGAAACCAACTGACAACCTGACTAGTCGTATCAGGTACTAAGCCAGTTCATTTCTCCCCATGTGAAATCAGCCCTGCCAGGGGCATGCAAAGTGCCCCTCTTGCTGCCCCAGGCCTGGGAATCAGTGTGGGAAAGTACTGTGATGATCTGGATGAAGCTCTTCTCTCACATCTTCCCTCTTCCCCAACATGCAGGGATCAGTTCTACTACAGCTGTGGAAGGGAGTCAGTGATTTGGAAGATCCCTCCCCTGGCGTTGTTCAGCCAGCCCTCCACAAGGATCCAGAGGCTGGCTCAGCCCAACAGATTCAAAAGACAGCATCAACAAAATGGGTAGAGCATCTTCAGATTCTCCATCTGTCCTACTCTAACTTGGGGCAGTGTCCCAGGGTTCTCATTTTAGTATGTGCGATTTCATGCGCTAAAGTCTGCCTGTGTCCCTAAGAGTCTGGTAAGAAAGTTAAGTGTTTGTAGCAATTGTAGGTGATCAGAATAATTACATTTGATTCAAATTTTGGTGAAGCTAAAAGTCCTACTAAACTTTACCAATGCCAACCAATTAAAAAAAATCTCAGCGTGGTGAGAGGCTTGCTTAGCACTCGCGAGGTCCTGGGTCCAGCCTTCTAGCATGCTAGAAAATAGGACAAACAGAAAAGAAATCTGCAAATGCGCATCATGGGTTTTGACAAGTTGTAGACCTTGATGTTTACTCTTGTCTCTGACTTTGCAGATGGTTTTCTTTGTGCTTTTTAAAATGCTTTTTACAGAGAATAAAAAATAATAAAAAACATGAGAAAAGACAGGAATTTCACTAAATGAGATGATTGGAATTTAACAATGGTTGCTACATTGCATATTGTTACCCTCAAATTAGTTGTTCAGATGACCAGATATAAGCATGCCAAATTGCTCAAAAAATGAATTAAAAAGAAAGAAAAGAAATTTAAGCATTAACTGTTCCATTCAACATGCCAATAGAAATCAGCAGTACCATTGTCCCAGCTGTCCTATCTTGTGTATATACTTATGTATTTTCTCTTTCTTTCTTTCTTTCTTTCTTTCTTTCTTTCTTTCTTTCTTTCTTTCTTTCTTT